ATTCGGTGGGATTCGAGTGAAGTTTGTTTCGCGATCGTACTCCACGAAGCAAGACTGCCCGTATACAGGTATCGAATCTCGAAATTGTAATTGAAAATCGATCCTTGAAATTACAATTAATGGATGATGAAGCGCGGATCGAATCGACTATTTTAGGGCCGTATCAAACTAAACGCTATAGTTCAAAACGAATACATATCACTAGTTCTTAACGAGGCGCGATGTAAGTATACATACATAGCTCTATATATATATAAAACGAGAAAGAGGCGAAACAAAAACAAAAGAGAGAAACGACAACATTAACAACTAATTTATTACACATTTACCGCATCTTATATACATAATATACATATACAAATCTAAAATATATATATATATATTGTATATACGAGATATATGTATTATATATAAATATATATATATATATATTATACGATATATACACGTGCATACAAATCGAAGATAAATAAGGTTTTGCTAAGACGATAAATTAACGGTACGGTCACGTGGATCGACGAGTAGAACGAATATCGGGAGATGCGCGTGCGTAGATCGTGCGATCCACGTGACCGTCGTCAGTGTACAGCGACGCCGTGGAAAATGGTGGGCGTGTTCTATCGACAAAGATCCACAGGACAGTATTTTAAAGTGTCGTAGATAGCTTAGTTATCCTTGCGTATATTAACGATATCTATTCCTTACACTCACGTTCACCGTCACACTTACATTGCCGCGTGCACACGAAAAAGAAACAAGAAAAGGGAAAAAGTGGTACATAACCTATACGCGATAAAGTGTCTCGATGAGAGATTACGCGGTGTGAAAAACATGGTGTTTGTTATTGCTCGTAATTGGTCGGTTTTCATTCGGAAAAGAGGAGGAAAGAAAAAGGAAAGGGGATTACACGTGTCTGGAGACGTTAAGCTGGGAATGGATCGTGTGCACGCGTACATACGTGAAGAAATTATTATATCGATGTCCTAAGATTGTTAAAGCGGGAACGATCGTCTCGAGGCTTCGTCGAGGGCGTTTCCGCTTCGTGTAACTCACGTTTCAATGATATTTATTATTTTTTATAATAGCGTATATACCGTGTATGTGTTTTCTGTCGTCGTACTATCCACGTTTTTCCTTACCTCGATAGATGTTTAAATAAACGGTTGTGGGAGGAAAGAAGAGGAAAGTTGTTCTGCTCGCAAGAAGAAAAAGAGAGAAGATTTTCTTCCACTTTCCATATTCTTTGAACGTCCACCGAGATTCACCCCTCCTCCCACCCCTTCCTCTTCAACAATCCTCTTATCAATTCCCTAATTATTGTGTTGTTACTTGAGAAAGGAAAAAAAAAAAAAATCATTATTAGGTCGCGGTGACGAGCCGGTAAAGCTCGATTGTTTAACTGCATATATGATCGTCAATCCTGGTTCGTGTCCATGATAACTCTTTCACCGAGTTCGAACGTGCTTCTTAACCCTTCGTTATTTTCGCCCAAAGAGAGTCAAGCTTGCGTTTAAGAGGAAAAAAAAAAACGAAAAAGCTTCGAAAAAAAAATTGAAAAAAAGAAAAAAAGAAACATTCAACTTTACGATCTTTAGAATGCTAAAAAATGAAAAGAAGCAAAAAAAAATAAATAAATAAATAAATTACGCATTTTTTAGAGATTCGTCCTTTGGAACGCGTAAAATCTATCGTCGTTTTAACAAGAAGTAGAAAATTTTCGATGTTTACTAAACGTAGGATTAATAAACAATCGTTTTTAAGTGTATGATCGATTCAGTGGTTTCAACTTTAAACTAGTCAGCCCGCGAAGGGTTAAGAAGATTATCGAACACTGTGCACTATACTTTGTAGCGTCAATGAATAAAAAAAAAAAAAAAATACCTGTTTACACGATATATCGATGTATCGTGAAACTTTTCAAGACAAAATTCGAGAAACAAAAGATCGAGGGAATCGAATTGGTAAAAATCGAAAAGCACTTGAAGCGTTAAACGACGTATCTACAACTCCTCGTTTCTAAAATATTACGATTTAAATTGGATAAAATAACGCTCATCTTGCATCTTGTGCTTGCATCACGAATTATCGCATCCCTGTGACGGATCATCGTTAATTACAAATGAGAGGTGACGATCAAGTTTTATCATTAATGCGAATTAGCTTTTAAAAAAAATTAGCTTTTTAACTTCGTATCTTTAAATCTTAATTAATTTACTTTATAATTAATTTTTTATCCTGTGCAAGAGTTGAAATATAATTTTATTTTTATTCCGTTTTATTCTTTTTTTACTTACCCATTTACCCAAGTAATAAATAGAATCTTTCTAAAAGATTCTTCTAAAAGAAAAAAATCTCCATCGAGATTATAAATTTCCATTTATGATCTCTTGGTACACAAACAAAACCGGTTTTGAATTAATTAATGTATTAATATTCAATGCAAAATGATATGAATTATCAAAATCATTTATATTATATCTATATTATTAATGCATTAAATTTCTGTACAATGCAATAATGATCGAGTTATCGTTCACAAAAAAATATGAAAGCAAAATAGTTAATATTATTAAAAACGTGAATTCGAAAATTGTACAAATAAAACGTATTAATATATTACGAATCGAGATTAATTCCTAAAAATTTTCTATCTTTTTATTTTTGTAATAATTGTAATTGTTCGATGCATTTGTCACACGTGATGCGTACATTAATTACGTAGAACAAAAAATATCGAGCAAAAGTAATAACAAGTTACCTTGCAAGTAGAATATCTCTGCCTGAAGATTATAGTCGACTGATAGTTACGTACACACACGTAGTTTAAACGATTAACGAATCGTGTAACAACGCAATTACCGCATCTCCATTGCATTTATAAAAAAATATATCGATTAAACGTACCTTGAGACGGATAAAAGAAAAAAAAAAATGAAATGAATTTAGAATTAAAATAAAAATAAGAGATAAAAAATATACGGCACACGTTACATTATTTCAGTATTGTTTATTGTTATGTCGTTTACGATAGGAGCACGGTACTGAAATCCTTGTAATAAATCTTGTGGCCAAACCGCGATTCTTATCCTCTTAAATGATCTAAAAAAAAAAAAAAATTATAAACTGTTTGAAATTAACCTCTTCCTCTTTGGACGATTGATATCGTTTCTTCCTATTTGGTCGTTCAACCGCAGCAGATCGAAATTAAAATACGATCGCGTTTTGCATTTTTTAATACCACGATTTCATTACGCCAATTATCTAGTAACCGTTTCATTCCATTAGCTTGAGAGCTTAATTAATTATCCGAGTAATACGTTCAGTTTATCGTCAATCGCGCTTGCTTTACCGTCAATCGAAACCACTCGAGTGAAACACGGATTCACTCGTGTCGAAATATCAATGCCAAGTCCAAAGAGGATATATCGCGAGTATTCTCGATATATATTGTATCTTTTCTTTCTTCGTATTGTAAGGGCAAGTAACTCTTTCGAGTACGATACATCGAACTTGTATAGATATAGCATCAACGAATTTGACCAACTTCACGACGTTCTATCGCGAAGATCGCAACTTATCGAATCGCAACATATCGAATCGCAAAAATGACCAACTTCATTATTAATTTTGAGAAACGAGCAATGGAGACGCGGTGCAGAGAAGATCCATGTTTAATTCAAAGCGTACATGTATCGCTTGAAGAAATTTCGAGAAAACCTTAATCAGTTGGTTAGACATCGATATATACGAGTATACGTCGCTGGCGTATCATCATGAAATGATGGGATCGATTCACGACAATTTGATGCAGACGTGCATCACTAAAAAAATACAATTTCACACCTCGACTCGTTTCGACCACGTGTTTTGACGTTTATACGAGTTCTACCATCGAGTAATACCATGGAAGTATCTTTTTTTTTTT